GAGAGAGAGAGAGAGAGAGAGAGAGAGAGAGAGAGAGAGAGAGAGAGAGAGAGAGAGACGAGGTTCTACCAATCCTCCCAGTGTGATGATCAGCCAAGTTGTTTCCAAGACTATGTACACAGTCCAGAACGAGTCTGACATGATGATCAGCCAAGTTGTTTGCAAGACTATGTACACAGTCCAGAATGAGTCTGACATCTGACATGTTCTACCCTCTCAGTGAGAGGCTCTGACATCGATCATGTGCAAAAGGCTTCATGAACTTTCTTTGTCAATGTTTCACACGCTTTGAAGGTGGAAGTCCATTCTCATCACATGGCGTTCTCTAACCCAAACATTCCCACCCCTTACCCACGTACTCCGTCACAGGGTCACCCGTTTTTGGTGGTGGTGTGTTTAACGAAAACAAAGCACACACACTTTTCATGTCTCCTCCTCTATGCATTCTGTACGGCCCAGTTCGCTAGCGACTTCTACCCCATGGCCTCCTTACCCCCCCCCGCGTTCCTTCTGGCTGCCTTACCCCCCCGCCCCCCTCCTCCTTACTTTTTTCTCAGGCCACCGTAAACCACCAGTCTATCTGCAGGTGGCCCTCTTAACTGCAGGTGGCCCTTCCTTCTGCAGGCGGCATTGTAGATTTTGCTCGTATATAATACTGGGCTAAAATCTTCAGTGCCCAGTCTCGATAGAGGCTACCATCTTCCCCCGAACATAACACATATGTGTTGTAAACGATTACAACGCATAGGTTGCTTCTTTTCCAATACATCTTGTATGCGTTCTATACGAACAGCGCTGGTTTTTAGAATACAATGCATATGCGTTCTATTCGAATTTTCAAATGTTTCAAAATTCGAATACAATGCGTATGCGTTATGTTTGGGGGAAGACGGCAGGTGGGGAGGGGCAACTGTATATACTTTTCAAAGGCTGGCACTGTAGATTCTAGGCTTGGAAAAATGCGACTTTTGGTTCGTCAACTTTGCTTCAGGTGGCCCGGTGGTTCGAGTCCGTTTGAACCCCCCCCCCGTCACAGATATGCTGTGAAAAACTTGGGTGAGCATCACCAAAAGTACAGACGAAAAGGTATTGTTATCAACTTATTATGTTTTTTCGGGGGGGAGGGGAAAGGCTCATGAAGTTTTTGTTTTTCGTTTTTTTTTTTTGGCATAAACTTGTGCTGACATATAAAAAAAAAAGCACTTGTGATGTTGGGCATGCATGCAATTGTGCTGACATATAAAAATGTGGCAAGCTTGCGCTACTCAAAATGCCAAAAAAAAGCAGCAGCAGCAAAGCAGCATGCATTCTTCTATTCATGTGTATGAACTTATGAAGCAGAAAAGTTGAAGAAAACCACAATTCTCTCTCTCTCTCTCTCTCTCTCTCTCTCTCTCTCTCTCTCTCTCTCTCTCNCTCTCTCTCTCTCTCTCTCTCTCTCTCTCTCTCTCTCTCTCTCTCTCTCTCTCTCTCTCTCTCTCTCTCTCTCTCTCTCTCTCTCCGTGTGTGTCGGTGTGTGGCCCCACGGTGGGCTGTGTGGTGTAGAGCTTCTAAACCAATTTTGTTCGGTGTTTCATGTCATGCTGTGAAATTGTTTTGAACTGGTACAAAATAAATTTGTATGACGCGGCACGATGCGACACGATACAGAACAGTGCTTTTTTTTTCTGTGACCTGAGGCACAGTTTCTTTCCACATGCTGCTCGCGGTTCAAAACAGTCTCCAACTGATCGTTCACCCCCTCCTCCGTGCTGGGCCCCATAGAAGTCCCCATGGCTATTTTTGTCTCATCTTATGATGCAACAGGGGCAGGTTGGGGCCCCTTCCAAAAATTTACTGCTCGGTGATGCTCTGGGGTTGCTACCCTGCTTCGCCCCCCACTTGCAGTAGTTCACATCCTCGGACTATGTATCTCTCTTTGGTCTTTAGCAACACCAAAGCTGCCGTTACAAAAAAAAAAAAAGAAAAAGAAAAAAGAACTTAGCAAAGCTGCCGTGTTTCGCCCACATGGTCCGCCTGTATGTGGAAAATTCAAAATTGTGAATTATTTGAGGTCTTCCTCTTGTTGGCCTTCAGAAATGATGCCGTGTTATCAACGGCAGGCAGATCCCATGATGTCGTGTCCGATGACAGTCCGGCCTGGATGATGGATGACCGTGATGATGATCATCGATGATGGATGATCATCGACAATGTTCTTGATGATACTTATGTGTAGTGCTCTCACCTGTTGTCTTTCCTGTTTTGTCCTTGTAGACGGCCTTCTTTGTCCTCCTCATTTTGGTTCTCCCGCTTCCCTCCCCCCTGGCCCCCCCCACTTCCCTCCTGGGTTCTCCCCCCCCCCCCCCCCCCCCCCCCCACCGCCTTGTTTTCTCCTGTCCTCCTGTTTGCCAATGTCATTGTGGTGGCTTTTACCATCATCACACCGGTTTGTTTTCATTCCACCGTGTGATGATATACTGGTCAATTTCACGGATTCCTGTTCTTCGGTGATCTTCAAAGAGTGCTCCTGTCTTCTGCGACGGCGGGAGTGGTTTTATCGGTATTCGGCACCACTTGCTTGTAGGAGGCTGCGTGAATCGACTGTAATTGTTTCGCAACACACCCATCATGAGTTGATAATAATAACATGCAGGATCGTCACAGTCACAGTCAAAGTCACGGTCAAAGTCACAGTCACAATCAAAGTCAAAGTCAGCACTTGTTCTTTGAATCCAATTTAGGTCTATTATTTAGCCAAGTTTATCCTACTTAGGAAATATGTTACGCCTTCTACTTGTAGTATACCCGCTAGGAAAAATAGTACAGCCCCTGGGGAACACAAGTGGTCCTCTAGTTTGAGTTGCGTATATGTATGTGTTTCAACGACGTGGGATGTTTGTCTGGCGGCTTTGGCACGTTCGGCCAACTGTGGTGCCAAGTCAGGTGACATGTACCTGTATACCACCAGTACCTCCACGTTTGCCGGCCGTTAAACCACAGGTCCCCCTGACGTCAAAAACCTCGGGGTACCGGTAGCGCCGTCTCACAATGGGTATCGGTCGTACAGCGTGGAAAACCGGGCGGGCCTCCGTACGAAATTTGCAACAAAAAATTGGAAATAAACCGAATCTGCGCGGCGAATATTTCACCGTCAAAATGATTTTATTTTATTTTTCTGATATTTTTCCCTAAGATCAAGACCTAATCTACCGACCCTCAAATTTTCAGATATTTTCATGACTTCTTCTGAGCACAAAAAACCGGCAAAGTTGCCGGTTGCAAAATGGCGGAATTGGACCCATCGGCCTCCGTACAACCCGGCGCCTCCGTACGGTCGCCGCCCCTCCGTACAACTCGCCCCTAACTCATAGGGACTAGGGGTTTTCGATGGCGGGGGGACCTGTCCGGTGGCCGAATCGGTGCACCGCGCGGGTCCATATGCATTTGCGTCAGAGCCTCCCAAGAGGGGGCCTAAGACCCCCTGAGGTACTGGTGGTGTAGACCACCAGTACGTTTCCCCGCTGTGAAATGAAATATGCGGCTTTCGCACCGGCGCAACTTTTGGGGTTGCGTCGCCGCAGCAAAATGGTTGGCGGGGGGTGGGGGGGGAGGGGAGGGTTGGGGCTTCGGTCAATTGTAAAGAAGTTGAAATGAGCTCGTCGGATGGACTGATTGTCAGTGATTGATAAACTGATAAACTACTGCAATGATGTGCAATCGATGTTTTTTTTTTTTTTTTTTTTTTTTTTTTT